GTGGGAAATAAAAGCAGGAGAAAATCCACTACCAAAGTAAGGCACAATCTGGTTTAAACACCACTTGGCTCTCAGTGCCAGTGGAAGCTTCACCCACTCACTCAAACACCCATCTGCCCACCCTGAGAGAGCACCATATCTTGATGACATCAAGGCATCAACTCATCTTGGCTCTTCAACCAAAAGCCAAATGCTTCTTGCGGCAACTCATCCAGCCTTAGGAATATGTCAAAGCCAACTCTGATTTTCTATTCAGTAGACCCCCATAAACCCACAGAATCCTCACCAGATCCAGTGCAGGGTGGAAGTTCAAAGGAATATTCCCACCCCTTAGCCCCAGAGGCTGCTGTGGGTAATATTACCTCTTGCCCCTTTAACAGGGTCACATTATCCTTCCACAAATCAATGAGTGGGCTTAGGATCTCTCCAGCCCCGGATGACTAGATTTCAAAATCATTGACCAAGGTAAGACAAAGCCGAGATGGGAGTACTGAAGGAACTGCTGAAGTATAAAGAGCAGTGTGTAAAGGTTTGAATAAAAAAATGCACATGAACCTATTTTTCTTCTTTTAAAGAAAGCAACATGCAATGTTGATAGAAACTGGGAATGTTGTTATGTCGGAGCTGCATAGCTGCAGATCTCCTTCAGCAGTGCAATTAAGGTCATAGACATTACACAGAGCTGCTGCCAACAGCATTCTGATCAGCCAGCAGGAGCTGTCTATCGCGTAGTTAAGTAACCTTCACTGATGAGGCACCTATTTAGATGGATATTGCCAGCTGGAGTTTGAAGCACAGCATCAAAGGCTGCCAAATAAAAAAAAAATCCATCCCCAGCTGACCCAAGTCACAGATGGTGCTGTTTCAGTGATCCAGATCAGACTCTGTGCAAGTTAAACATACCTTCAGTTTTCCATATCAAATGGTAAATGGGGGTCCATCTGAACTTGTTTTTGGGAGGGGGAAACAGTGGTGTCAGAACTGAGGAAGGGTCACCGGACCCAAAACGTTAACTCTGATTTTCTCTTCACAGATGCTGCCAGACCTGCTGAGCTTTTCCAGCAACCTGTGCTTTTGTTCCTGACTTACAGCATCCACCATTCTTTTGGTTTTTATTTAGTGTTCCGACAGAGATTATTTTAAAAAATAAAACTTGCAATGGGGGACCAACAAGTCCAGCCTACCTTTCAACCTCAACAATGGAGTTAATTTAGATAAATGTGAAGTGCTGCATTTTGGTAGGGCAAAACTTACACACTTAATGGTTAAGGTCCTGGATAGTGCTGCTGAACAAAGAGACCTTGGGAGTGCAGGTTCATAGTCCGTTGAAGCAGAGTTGCAGGTAGACAGGGTAGTGAAGGCAGCATTTGGTATGCTTGGCTTTATTAGTCATCACATTGAGTATAGGAGTTGGGAGGTCATGTTGCTGCTGTACAGGACATTGGTGAAGCCACTTTTGGCATACTACATTCAATTCTAGTCTCCCTGCTATAGGAAAGATGTTATGAAAGTTGAAAGGGTTCAGAAAAGATTTATAAGGATGTTGCCAGGATTGGAGGGTTTGAGCTATAGGGAAAGGCTAACTAGGCTGGGGCTATTTTCCCTGGAGTGTCAGAGGCTGAGGGGTGTTCTTACAGAGGTTTATCAAATCATGAGGGGCATGGATAGGGTGAATAGTCAAGGTCTTTTCCACAGGATAGGAGAGTCCAGAACTAGACAACATGGGTTTAAAGTGAGAGGGGAAAGATTTAAAAGGGACCTAACAGACAATGTTTGCATACAAAGGATAATGCATGTATGGAATGAGCCACCAGATGAAGTGGTAGAAGCTGGTACAATTACAACTTTTAAAAGGCTATATGAATAGGAAGCATTTAGAGGGATACGGGCCAAATGCTGGCAAATGGGACTAGATTAATGTAGAATACCTGGTCAGCATGGACGAGTTGGATGGAAGCGTCTGTTTATCACTCTATGAATTTAATGGATGTCCCAATAGCCCTGTGTTGAATGACAACTGATGGTGAACTCTGTCATAGTTCAGTTGCAAATCAATATGGGGCTATGGCCGGCACATTAACTGCTCAGGTCTGTGCAGAGAAAAAAATTCAGGCTGGAAGAAACTGGCTAATTGTACATTGGTGCAAGATCTGGGACAAGAAAGGTTGAAAAGGAAACGCATGAAATGCGGATGCTGGACACACTTTTAGCGTACTGCCAGGTATCTCGTTATTTCGGAACATTGTGGAGGAGGCTCGGTGAAATCACCATCTCCAATGCTTCTGACAGCCACTCCAATAACCCAAGAAATATCAGATCGTTCAGCATATGTGATGGCATGAACTGCACTTCCTAAATATCAAATACTGATAACAGAAGTATCCCTATTGTGTTCTTTTTTAATTCATTAATGGGTTGTGCATGTGACTGGCAATGCCAGCATATACTGCCATCCCTAATTACCCCTCACAAGGTGGTGATTAACTGTCTTCGTGAACCACTGCAGTTCGAGGAGTGTAGGGACACCCACAATTGTCAGGGGGAGATTTGTAGGGTTTTGATGCAGCGACAGTGAAGGAACAGCTAACACAGCTCCAAATCAGGATGGTGTATGTGGTTTGGAGGGGACCCTGGAGATGGTGATATTCCTGTGTATCAGCTGCCCATGTCCCAAGTGGTAGAAGACATGGGTTTGGAAGTAGCTGTTGAAGGAGCAGCAGTGCATCTTATAGATGATTTCTGCCATCAACATCATAATTTAAAAATAACTCCATAGCAACCGAAAATGGAAACGTAGTCGATCTTTCCTGGATAGCAAAGGGTTAACCAAATGGATTTGGGAAGTTTTATGATAACATGGTTTCAAATATTTCTGTCTGGAATAAATGGACGACAAGGGGATTGACTGCTCGATACAATGATCTATGCTGAACTGGTCACTCCCATTATCCAGAAATAGAACATCTGGGTCACCAAGACATCTCTGGCTTGTGCAGCATCGCATGAATGATGGTGGGCTCAGATTAATATTAGAGGTTGTCATGTTGCTTTTTAAACAGCATCCAGAAAGGAATTGTCTAACAGAACACACTGTGCAGCAAGCCATAATATTTTTTACAGTAGGATCAGTAGGTCTTGCTTTCTTCTTTCAAGGAAATAAAGGAATTTTATTTTGGAAAGCTGTCATGGTATATCCTTGAACATTACGAATGCAAGCACTATCCTTCAGGTAGGATTTGTCCACGGTTCAAATAACACCACTGTTTTCGTGCAGAATCATGAATATTGCAGCATAGCTGCAGCTCCAAACAGCTGCTTAACTGCTGCAGTCTACTTTAATTCCTACTCTAAAGCGTGCAACCTCCCTGTTTGATCCTTCCCTTAACTCTCAATGTCTGTTGCCCTTTTAAATCATGACTTCCTCTCTAACAGACAGGAGGCTTTAACATCAAAAAGTTACAGCGATAGGGTTCCCCTTATCCTCACCTACCATCCCACCAGCATCCACAGCCAGAAGATCATCAGATGCCATTTCCGCCACCTCCAGCAAGATGCCACCACCAGACACATATTCCCCTCCCCTCCCTTGTCCGCCTTCCGCAGGGACCGTTCCCTCTGGGACACGCTGGTCCACACTTCCTTCACCCCCAACACCTCCCCACAGCCCTACGGCACCTCCTCCTGTAACCGGCGAAGGTGCAACACCTGCCCATTTACTTCCTCCCTCCCCACTATCCAAGGGCCCAAACATACCTTCCAGGTGAAGCAACACTTCACCTGCACTTCCGAGAATCTAGTCTACTACATTCGCTGCTCACAATGTGGTCGCCTCTACATTGGGGAAACGAAGCGTAGACTTGGCGACCGCTTTGCAGAACATCTACGTTCTGCTCGCAAAAGAGACCCTGAACTACCTGTTGCCTGCCACTTCAATGCACCACCCTGCTCTCTGGCCAACATCTCTGTCTCCGGCTTGCTACAGTGTTCCAGTGAAGCCCAACGCAAGCTGGAGGAACAACACCTCATTTTCCACTTGGGGACCCTACAGCCCTCCGGACTCAATATTGAGTTCAATAATTTTAGGGCCTAAACGCTCCCATGTCCCAGCCCCCCACCCCACACACCAGGCCTTGTTACCACATAGCCTGCCACTACACACCCGCTATTGTTAGTCACTAACAGTCCCCATTAACAATTACTCACCCTCCCAGCCTGATCGTTAGCAACTCCTTTGTCTGTCCAACTGTCTTTCTCTCTCTTTGGGCTCTATCTTATCATTTACTCCCTACCCCACCCACCTCCCTATTTTCTACATATAAACTGACGTTTTCCCAGCCACCATCAGTTCTGAAGAAGGGTCACCGGACCCGAAACATTAACTCTGTTTTCTCCTCCACAGATGCTGCCAAACCTGCTGAGCTTTACCAGCACAGATTCTTTGGCGTCCCATGTATTTGCTGCCTTTGTCCTACATGGTGAAGGTCACTGGTTTGGAAGGTGCTATGACACTGTTGTAGGATATTGTATAGATGGCACACACTGCTGCTCTGGCGTGTTGGTGTGAAGGAAGTGAATGGTGATGGTGCTGGATGGAGTGCCAATTTAGCAGGTGCATTATTTGGGATGGTACTCGAGTGTTGTTGAGCTGCACTCACCCAAGAAAGTGGAGAGTATTCTATTGCTCTCCTGACCTGTAGGTAGGCTTTGAAGAGTCAGGAGATGGGTTTCGAGCTGTAGAGCTCCCAGCCTCTAACCTGCTCTTGCATCCACAGTACTTGCATACTGGTCCAGTTAGATTTTTGGTCAGTGGCAATTTCCAAAATGGTCACAGTGGCAAAATCAACAATTGGTAATGCCACTGAATGTCAGGGGAAGATGGTTAGATCACAAAGCATTGTTTCCCAGGCACTGAAAGTGTGAAGGGATATGACTACACAAAAAGATTTAAATATTGTCTGCCCGGCCTCACTTGTGCAAAAAGAAAACCCATCAGCTGCTACAAACGTCCTTCAATTCATCACCGGACTGTACATAAAGGATGCTTTTATCTTTTTTCATTCTGTCATGGGAAGAGGGCATCATTAGAGTTCCAGCAATTACTGCCCATCTCTGACTGCCTTAAGAGAAGGTGGTGGTGAGCTACCTTCTTGAACCACTGCAATCCTTGTGAGGTAGGTAGTCCCACAGGGATGTTAGGAAGAGAACAAAGGCTGTGATTGTTTCTCTCCTGCGACAGTCTGACAGCTTCATCTCTGTCCTACAGTACTAATTTGCCATTTATGAGTCAATGATGAACTGCCACACATGGGGAGGCCAGCTCTTTCAATTACCGCTTCACACTGTCCCAGTTTGTAAACAGCTATTGTCTACTCCTGAATACAGACATGAGCTCATTTCAGCTCATCAACAGCATTCACACAAAGCAAAAATTAAAAGGGGAATAAGAACACATGACACATCTTGGGAATCAAAAATATTTAGAATCGACTTTGAGAGCAACTAGCCTTTATATAACACCTTTAAAATGAATAAAATTTCCTGAGACATTTCACCAGATAAACCCAGACAGTAAGGCTATGATAAAGATATGAAAAAGAAAAGGAATTAATCTCCTAGCTGACAGAGTGTAGTGGGGACGGATTTCAACTTGTAAGGCAGGGGGATGGGTTGACTAATGGGCTAAGTTTCAGAAAATGCCAGATAGGACAAAAGAAAGAAGGTGGAGAAAGGAGAAGAGAAAGAGAGAGAAGGCATGAGTGTTGACAATGAACAAAGAAATGGTCACCTTCCAATGGGCAAGAAATAGATAAGGGCAAAGTTAAATTGTATGTATGTAAATGCACGAAGTATAGCGAACAAAATTGGGAAACTGAAAGGAGAAATTGCTTTAGTGAGATATGGCATAGTAGCATTGACAGAAGCATGGCTCAAGACAGAACAGGACTGGATACTTAACATCCCGGGTTATATGTCTTTTAGTAGAAACAGGGTGGGTAAAAAGGGAGGAGGCGTAACAGTCTTGGACAAAGATAGTAACATTGCCCTTGAACGGGACGTAGTTCTTGAATTAGAATCTATGTGGTAAGAGGTGACAAACAGGAAGGGAGCAGTGACCTTGTTGGGTATTTATTACAGATCTCCAAATAATGGGAAGGAAATTGATGCCAGCATTTGTAGGTAGGTTACGGAAATCTGCAGGACAAGTACGGTTATGATAGTTGGTGATTTCAATTACACTTGGGTAGACTGGGAAAAAGGTAGGGTGTGGAGCATGGAAGCGAAGAAATCCCTGCAATGTGTGTTGGAGAACTTTCTAGAACAGTACATCTCCAGTCCTACCAGGGAGGGAGCTATGTGGGATATGCTCCTAGGAAATGAGACAGGCCAACTGGAAGATATCAGAACGGAGGAGTATTTGGGAAACTGCAATCATACCAATTATAAGGTTCAATATTGTGTGGGAAAAGGATAAAAATCAGTCAATGATGGAGATCCCAGATTGGAAAGGGCAGTTAGGGGTCTAAAAGGTGAACTGGAGCACGTTGATTGTAAACACATTTTGGTGGATAAAACAGTGAATGAAAGGTAGGAGAATTTCATAAGGTGAGATGAATTGAGTGCAAGCTGGGTATATAACCATGACTAATAATTATATGGTATCCAAAGATACAGTACCTTGCATGACTAAGGACAAGAAGGATGAGAAAATAAGGAAGAAACAGGAGGCACTGATGCATACCGGAATAATGGTAGCAACAGAAACCAGGAAGAGTATCTCAAATGCGGGAGACAGGCTAAGGCTGAAATAAGGAAGGCTAAGAGGGAGCGTGAGGAGAGGATGGGAGGCTGCACCAAACAAGTCGTAAAATGTTCTTCAACCATACTAATACAGAGAAGGATAGAGTAGAGCCCATAGGGAGCAGGCAGGGTAAGGTGCTCACTGAAGCAAAGGACATGGCAGTGGTACTAAGTGAATATTTTGCTTTTGTCTTTACCAAATTTGGAGATGGTGACAAAGGCCTAGTTGAAAATTTGAATGTTGAGCAACTTAGTAGTATAGTGATAGATAAAGAAGAGGGGCTAAAAAGGTTGGCAGCATTCCAGGAAGAGAACTTGCCACACCCCAATGGGATGCATCCTAGATTGCCGATAGAGGTAAGGGAGCAAATCACAGAGAACATTTTCCAGGCCTTTCTGAACAAAGGATTTGTCCCAGGGGACTGGAGGATTGCAAATGTAACACTGTTGATTAAGAAAAGGGCGAAGGATAACCAATGACTCTACAGACCTGTCAGCTTGACACCAAGGTGGGAAAACTGATGAAAATAGTCAACGTGGCTTTGTTAAGGGCAGGTCACATCTGACAAATTTAATTGAGTTATTTATATGCAAGGCTATGGTCAGGGGAACATGGGTGCTGTGGAGAGAGGTAGCTTGTTGTCAGAAAGTGGAAAATTTATAAGGGGGTGAAATTTTAAGTTTAAGATACTGAACGACCCAGACAAGCATAGACAGTGAGCACACAGGAACAGTAAAGAATTATCAAAGCAAATTACTACAGGAGAATTAGAGAACAAGAGTAAGACAGCCTTGCTACAACTGCACTTTGGTGTGACCACACAGAGTACAGTACGCAGTTTTAGAAGGATGTACTTGCGTTGGCAGTGGCAGGTAAAATTTCCTTAACTAAAGAGACTCGCCTTCAGTATCTACCCTGCCAAGCCCCTTCAGAATTCTAAATGCCTTAAATGAGGTCATCTCTCACTCTGCTAAATTCCAGACAGTGTAGGACTAACTTACCAAGCCTTTCAACCCAGGAACTAATCTTCCAGTAAATCTTCACAGTATCATCTTCAATGGAAGCCTAGCTTTTCTTGGCTACAGTGACCAAAATCAATGTGCAGAATTCCACCAACGGTCTCAATAAAACCCACACAATTGTAGCAAGTGTTCCATACACTCGTACTCTAATTGCCGTACAATAAGGGCCAACATCCCATTTTCCTTCTTAGTTACTACTGTATCATAATGAACATTCAGTATTCCTTGAGCGAGTACATCCAGGTCACTCTGAACATCAATCTTTAGAAGTTTTACATCTTTTAAAAAATATTCACCTTTTCTATTCTCTTGACTAAAGTGTATAAGCTTCCACTTCCTCTACATTATCTATCTGTGTCCTTCTCACAACTTAGATTCCATCCAGGTAAGAATGTCAGATTTTCTTCCCTAAAGAGCATTTGAGAACAGGACAGGGCATCACTGATGGCCAGCTTTATATTCGATACTAATTATTAGATTTAAATCCCACCACTGTGGCTAGGGGGATTTAAATTCCATCTCCCCAGAACATTAGCCTGGATTATTAACCTGCTGATATCACCACTATCCCATTACCTCCCCGTATGTTTATGATCTATATTTTTTGTTTTGCTTAATTGGTGCAGGATTCCAGATTGAGCTTCAGGTGAGGTTTGTAGAGACAGGTTTCAGCTGTGGACTTTTCTGTGCCCAAGAACAGCTAAGCTCAGTTACAGGCTGTTGGCTAAATCGCAGGTTTGTGGTGCTTAAGCTTGGTTTAAAAATTCATTGGTGAGAGAGAGCTCTGGACAAGTGGATTGCTTAATGTCCACATTTTACATGTTGTCTGGTTATTTTTGGTGGATCCCTAGTTGAGAACACTTCTTCTACAAAAGCGACTACACTTCAAAGAATATTTCATTGGCTCTAGACAGCATGAGGATGTCCTGAAGAATTTCAGCACTCAATTCAACTAACTATTCTGGCATATCCTCAAGTTGCAAAGGGTGCTAAAGAAATATAAGCTCTTTCTTTCCTCTACACACGGCTGTGGAAGCAGTTATTAACTCTGCTCTTCACAAACTCTCACAAAAAACAGATACAAAGAAGGAAACATACACAGTTCATGTAAATATTTCTTTGTTTGGCCAGGATTACAACATGTTGCGAAATGACAGAATAGAAAGATCTACCGCACTTTGCCTTTCAAGTTGATTAGGCCTTTTAGTGTTGGTCTACAAATTAAAGAGGCCTATGGATCATTAGCATTTACAACTGATGTATTCATAATTACACAATCCCAATTTTTTTTACTTTATCTTCATTTGAGGGGATGTTCTACGTTAGGAATTACGGTTTCTTCTTTTTATTTGTGCTATCATCACATTTTGACGTCCGCCGTGATGATTTTCAGTAATCTAGTTTATCCATTTATTGTTGGAGATCATTGGCAATGAACTCACCGAATCAGTGTGACGATTTGGTTTAGCTCCTCAGTGTGCACTTACCTGGATGAATTCACTATATATCCCGAAGGACATTCAGGCATGCACTCTCCGTTGTGGATGACATATCGGGTGCACTCAGTCTCCTTGGAAGGTTTGCATTCATTGTGCAGCATCTGACAGAAGGAGAAGGTGACGCAGCGCCAGCCCTCAAACTTGTAGGTGCCGGGCGGGCAATCGGGGATGCAGACACCATTGTAGTAGTACCGTCGACATGCCACGCACTTTGCTGCATTGTCAGGCTCCGTGCAACTGCCCAGGCATTCGTCATGACAGCACTTGCCACTGGGGGTACAGGCTTTTCGACGGCACTCGGAGGAACATACTGCAAAACAGGACAGAAATCGAAGAGCAAAACTTTAATTTTAAGAAAATAACAACTTGCCTTTACACAGAGCTCACGTCACAGAACTTTACACGTGAATCATTTTTGTTACAAAGGCTTAAACTCAGAATACAGTGTGGAAGGAGGCCATCTGGCCCATCGTACCTGCATTGGGTCCATTATCTAGCGTCAATCTCCGGGCTTTTCCCTAGATCCCCGCACACCATTTTTATCCAAACAACCTTCCAATGCCCCTGCTGAATGCCTCAATTCAATCTGCCTCCACTACATTTCCAGGCAGTGCACTGCATTCCATAAGCTGCTTTGAGTCAGCAACATCCCACAAACAGCAACAGTAACAACAAGCTAATTTGCTTCTGGTGCCATTTGTCAGCAATTTTCAACAATTTTAACATAGTTGGAGGTCAGAAAGCATTACATCAGTATTAAGGCCCACATGAAATACATATAAAAAAAGGTAACCAATAACAGTTAAAGTGGTGTGATTTAGGGCACTTTTTGTAGTAAAGAAGGAGAGATGCAGTGAAGTGCAAGAAGAGAGCCTTGCAGCTAAAGAAAGCTGAATGCAATGGTAGCAGCAGAGAGGGCAAAGGAATTCAGGGATAATACAGTGTGGAGCTGGAGGGACACAGCAGGCCAGGCAGCATCAGCGGAGCAGGAAAGCTGACGTTTTGGGTCGGGACCCTTCTTCAGAAATTCAGGGATTCAAGGATGCGTAAGAGATCGGAATTGTTGGAACATGAATTCTTGGAGAATTGGAGTTGGGGGGAGATTAAAGTCTGAGGACATGATAAACACTCTCAGTCTGGACACAGAAAATGTCCTACACTTGCAAATCCATGAAGACTTTGAATAGGCAACTGAAAGTCAAGGGCCAACAGTTTTGCTGGATTTCCCTCAATTACTCTTCAACTATTATCATTCAAATAAATTACGGGCAGTTCCAGGTTGCAAATGGGTTCCAGTCAGCAGTCAGTTCACAAGTTGATTTCTTCGCAAGTCGGCACGCGATGCAGACAACATAAAGGAGGCTTTCGTAAGTACAGGAAATGTTCGTACATTGAGTCTTTAAAATTAGACTCCTATATGGGATCACTTCCCAATGTATGAGCATTTGGAAATCGGGGCCTCCTGTAACCCTTTGGTGTCTTGGGAGCTTGCTGTGAACAAATTGTTTCCTATTTTACAACAATAACTACACTTCAGAAAGTAATTCATTGCCTGTGAAGTGCTTTGGGATGTTCCAAAGTCATGGGATGCATTATATAAATACAAGACATTCTTTATTGTCTCAGCAGGTCTGGCAGTATCTGTGGAGAGAAATCAGTTAACTTTTCAGGTCCTGTGACCCTTCTTCAGAACATTCTTCTCCCCACAGATGCTGCCAGACCTGCTGACATTTTCCAGCAATTTCTGTTTTTGTTTCTGATTTCCAGCATCCGCAGTTCTTTCATTTTTTTTATTCTCTATTGACTCCCTCTGACATTCAGCAGCAATCAGCTTACCATTCCACAGCCGAACAGCTTGGCTACATTGACTACATTCCTGCAATTGGCTTGAGGGCTTAATTACCTCCATGTCCCTTAGCCTCATCAGGCAAGCATTCCTTTCAGACATTTTCCAACTTCTGCAATCCTTCCCGTCTCCTCTCATCTCGCTCCCCACTTCACAGCCTCCCTTCCCCTTCAACACCACCTCCCATGCCTTTTCCCTATTCCCACTCCACTTTCTCATGCTTTTTGACTGCTACCAGTCACCACTCTCTCCCAATCACAACTTGGTTCTCTGATTGGTCAGTACCTATGAGTGAATTTTCACATGAGATTAGGGATTTTGGGGTGGATTTGCCCATCCCCCATGTGAATTTATAGAGTTATGGAGTCATTGAGTTACATAGCACAGAAACAGATCCTTCGGTCCAACCTGTCCGCGTTGACCAGACATCCCTACCTGACCCAGTGCCAGCATTTGCCCATTACACTCTAAACCCTTCCTATTCATATACCCATCCAGATGCCTTTCAATGTTGTCATTGTATCAGTCTCCCCCACTTCCTCTGGCAATTTGGAGCCATGATGGGCACCACAAGTACTTAGAAGGGTGGCTTATGGCAGGAATATTGAGAGTTAATCTTGTGCTTTGATTGAAAATTACATTTTCGTTCAAGATCTTTTTTGAGTTGCAGTTCTTATGAAACAATTGGACTACATGCAAATTTGATTTTGTTATCGCTGATGGTGGTCAGTGTTTTAGTTAAATGAGTGTTTGAGGAAAGGAACAAAACTACTACACACACAGCATCAGTCTAGACAAAATCTAGCGATGGCTATGGTAATCACGGGCTTTCAGATTCCGAATGCCCTCACAGTGGCACATTTATCTGACAGTCTATCTTAAGGCTCCCCAATCCATGCGTCAGGTCCCAAGGTTGGATTTTGGGGTTCCGAGACCCAAGGCAGCAATGGCTGTTGTGGAGCTCTGACTGAAGGCTAAGGTATGCTTGCTGCAAAACAGAAGCCTGAGGAAAGGTATGTTTGTTTTCTTTTTCAATAAAATCATGTAGTTTAAACCATTCTCACCACATTGAACTTTGTCCATTCCCAACCCCCAGCTCAGGAAGCAAAAGCACACATCTTCCCACATTCCACCACCTCCGCATCCCCGAAATCCCCAACAGCTGAAGCTACAACACCCACATGTTCTCTGTTCTCTGCTTCTCCCCACCAACTCCCTCTCCAGATCACAGAAGTCCAAAGTATTAAAATGGAAGCGCACTTAAAAAGAGTTTAAGCAGCACTAGTCTGGGGGGGCACTGCCAAATGCCACCCATGTGAATGAAAAATACATGAATTTGCAAGAACATACAGATACAGATAGCATACTTTCTGCAGTGAGCATCTAAACAGATCTGTGATCCTTGCAATACTATGTTCTTTGTAAAAATACTGACTGCCTCAGGGTATAATGACTTGTAACACAATCTAGAGATTTAACTGTATACTATGTGTATCATATAACACCAATCTGTTCAGTAAGAGCAATACTATAATTAAGGGATTTTTTTTATCCCTTTTGAAAATATAACAGGCGTGTTCCTCTTTGTGGTTTCACTGTTATGCTTCTTATTAGCTTGCACTTCCAGATCGTGCCAATTTCTGCTCCGAGAAGATTGTTTGGCTTAGTCAAGCCACAAAATCTTCTTGGCAGTTCACAGCCAGCAGCAGAGAGAGTAACCAGCAGCCAACTTAAAGGAAAGCCACGAACATTTCACGTAGCAGTTACAATACAAGTACAGAGGAGTAAAATTCGGGCACAGGAGCACGAAAAGGAAGGGATTCTCTATGGAGTTTAGAAGGATGAGGTCGGGGGATCTCATTAAAGCGTACAAAATACTGAAAGTCCTAGATTGAGTTGACATGAAGAAGAATGTTCCACGCATAGGAAAGACAAGGACCCAAAAGGTACAGCCTCAGGTGAAGGGACAACCCTTTAGAACGGAGATGATTTGATTTGATTACTGTCACATATACCTAGGTACAGTAAAAAGTTTTGTTTTGTATGCAGTACAGGCAGATCATGCCGTACAAAGTGCATTAGAGTAATAGAACAGAGTGAGGAATACAATGTTACGGCCACAGAGAAGGTGCACAGAGAGAGAGAGAGACCAACATTAAATTTAAAATTTGAAAGGTCCATTCTTAATAGCAGGGAAGAAGCTATTCTTCAATCTAGGCACAAGAGAGAATTTCTTCAGATGGTTCATCTGTGGAGGCCAAGTCATTGAGTGTATTTAAGACAGAGATAGATAGGTTCTTGCTTAGTAAGAGGATCAAGGATTATGGGGAGAAGGCAGCAGAACGGGGTTGAGAAACCATGATTGAATGGTGGAGCAGACTGGATAGACTGTATAGCCTAACCCTCTTCTATACCTTATGGTTCTCAAATAGCAACTCGGCTGGAAAGCATGAGTGCAAGGACAGTGAGACATGATGGGGTGTTTGAGGAACTCATTCTTAAACAATAAATGGCTAAGGGAGATAAGCCCACAAGAGGAAACAAGAAGGTAAAAGATCAGCAGAATAGACACCAGGACTGGGGAGGGTAATAATATGGGACTGGGATGGAACTTCAAAATTTAAATTCTCATGCTTGAAGCCACAAAAGCTTTCAGGTTCTGAAGCATTGTTGTAATACTTAAAAGCCCAGATTTCTAAAACTTCTGCTCCTCAATCTTCAGCTTGGGTGCAGCATTCCATGAAAGCGTACCTAGCTCAAAGGAAAACTGTTACAGTTGTTGGAGATCAATCATCTCAATCCCGGGACACCTCTGCAAGAATTCCTCAGGGCAGCGTCCAAGGCCTGAATATCTTCAGCTGCTTCATCAATGACCTTCCCTCCACCATTAGGTCTGAAATGGGGATGTTTGTTGATGATTGCACCATTCACAACTTCTCAGATGCTGCAGCAGTGTGTTTAAATGTAGCAAGACCTCAAACAACACCCAGGCTTGGGCTGACGAGTGTCCAGTTACACTTGTGCCACATGAGTGCCAGGCAATGACCATCTCCAACAAGAGAGAATCTAACCATCTTCCCTTGACACTGAATGGTATTACCATTGTTGATCCACAATGTCAAAATCCTGAGGGTTATCATTGACCAGAAACAGAACTGGACCAGCATATAAATATTGTGGCTACAAGAGCTCAGAGGCTAGAAATTCTGCAGGGAGCACTTCACGTCCTAACTCGCTAACACCTGTCCACTGCCTGCAACCCAGAGGTCAGGAGTGTGATAGAATAATCTCCACTTGTCTGGAAGGATGAAGCTTCAACACACTCAAGATGTTCAACATCATCCAGGATAAAGGAATCCATTTGATTGGCACCACATCCACTTCCTGCACCACTAATGATCAGTGGCAGCAATATGTACCATCTACAAGATGCATCTTAAGTAATTTCCCTGAATTGGCACCTT